TGGAGCTTTTATTTTATTTTATTTTATTTTTTTGTGCCTAGCAGCTGGGGAGCTTGTGAAATAATTAGTGAGCTTGGGCAGGTAGGTATAGAGTGCTTTTCTTTCAATGCAAAAGCATAACTATGCCCCTCTCATGGGAATGGTTACTAGATCTGTCGGTGCTGACTCTTTGAGTGCCAACATTTAGAGCACTGGGAGTCAGACACTGGATGTAACACATTTTAAAATCTAGAAATGTGGATACTGCAGACACGGGCATCTTCAACAAAGGAAGTCTCTCTCTCTCTCTCTCTCTCTCTCTCTCTGTGTGTGTGTGTGTGTGTGTGTATGTGTGTACCTTTCTCCCTCTCTCAGTGTTATTAATGCTCATGGTACTCAGGGAAATCGTGATGATAAGAGTTCCTGACGTGGGAGTAATATTGAACGAAAAAGACCAAAGTTCAATCTAGTCCAACATTCATCCAAGCAGAAGCTTCTGAGAAACCTGAAAGTAACACATGGACACAATGCTTGTTTCCAGCACCTGAGGTTCACAGGTAGACTCCTTCTGTTCATGGAAGCTCCATTTAGTCGTCATAACTCATTACTGCCTGCAGCATGGGCAAGGGCTACAAATCCCATTCTCTCTGACAACTGGCCACATTAGCTGGTGCTGAGTTCAGCAACACCTGGAGGGCCGTAGGGTTCACTATCCCTGTTCTCTGCACCTCTTTTGAAACTCTATTAAAGGCCATCTGGAACAGTGAGCTAGCTAGCACTGGGATTTTATACTTGAGAACACACTCAGATGATTTCTTAGAGAAGCCCCTGATTGCCATGTGCTTCTCATTTTCAGCAGGAGCATCTCAGTACTTCAGGTATCCTTGGCTTCAAGAACCAGACCCAATGGACTCTCCTACCAGCTACGTACTTGACCCGTTCATGGGAAGCTCAGTTGGGAAAGGAGGGGGCAAATTGTCCCCTCCCTCTCCCTTTAGACAGTTTTGCTGCTCAAATTTTGCTGGAGGAAACTGCGGCTCTTCGCGCACCACACCAGCCAGCAGATCACAAAGCAAACTCCCAGGCAAAGGGCAAGTGGGTGCCTGCAGCTTCTCATGACAAGAAGCCGGCCTTCTTCAACAATGCTGGGTTGTCAACAACTGGCCATTGATTGGATTGTAAGGGCAAGGGAGAAAAGGAGGCCTGGCTTGCTCTTGTGCCTTTAACAGGCACTGGATCTGCAGGACTTGGCAGATGAGGCTGCTCACATCCGTTACAGGCAGAGCTACAGAGGCTGCTTCAAAAGTTGGCAACTCTATTGCATTGTTTGAAGCCTCAGTGCTTTTGTAGTGGGGCATGGAGGGAGGATAAATTTGATTCTGCTCTGTTTAGATGTTGGAAGAAATATTAATCCGCACTCTCTAGCTTGAGCCTCAAAGTGCCTCCCATTTTAGGTAGGAATTAAACATGGAAGAGCAGCTACCTCTTTCAGGAATGACCTTGAGCTTCCCGACACCTGTTTGAGTTTGGTTATCTTTTGCATGCTCCCATGGAGAAAAGTAAAATCATCATCATAATATTTACTGTTAATTTACATAAACATTGAAGGTGTTCACAGCACTCCACAAACAGCAGCTCAGCAATCCTTACAACTACCCTGAAAGGTAGTCTGATATTATCATCATCCCTATATTGCACCAAGAATGGGCAGGTTGAGGGTTGCCTAAGGCAGCCACTCTCAGCTTTGTTTCCCATCCACCTCTGTGTTTTGGATAATTCCCACCAGTCTCATGCAGCACAGCCCAAAGTCAAGGCTGATGAGCGTTGTCGCTCAAACCATTTCATTACTTTTTTTTATTTATTTACTGCATTTCTATCCCACCTTTTCCTCCAAGGAGTTCAGTGTAGTTTTCCTCCCCCCCCCCATTTTATGCCCACAACAACCCTGTGGGGTTGGTGAGTCTGAGAAATAGTGAATGGCCCAAGGTCATCCAGTGAGCTTCATGGCTTAGTGGGGTTTCGAACACTGGTCTCTCCCAGGCCCTAGTCCAACACTCTAATCTGCCTGTCAACATCTGACTTAATGACACCTAGCAAGCTCTTGCCTGAGTTGAGATTCGAAAGAAAGCCCCCTACACACACATAGTACCATTTGCAACATAGGGATGGCGTCTGTATCCCATTCCTGTAAATCGAATATTCCAAACTACATAAGCGTGAGAGGAAAGGGGAAAGAGAAATTGCCTCTCAGTCTTTCTACTCAGATCTCTGAGCATCACATTCGAAGCAGACAGATCCTTCCATTGATCAACGGAGCCAGATAATTTCCCAGTCCAGAGATGCATAACAAGGAGGCTAATGAAGCACTGGGCAGCCAGAAAGCCATTCACAGCCAGGTGTTAAATTGACACAGCATTTGATGGCAACAGAAGCAACCGCTGCAACCAGAAGAAAGTTACTGCCCAACATGCCTGTTGGAGCCTCTCTTAAGCTCCAAGGCACTTACGTTGTGACGCAGGCCCAAGTGATGCCTCCCCATAATTTTCTGTCTCTAGGAAAATGGGACGTCATCAACACCACCCTCCCTTCACCCTAAAGTCACTGAGCTGGTTGCAACAGTTAAAGCAGTTTAAAACAACTCGCAACAACAGAAATAAGGTGCGTCCTGAATATATCTACCTCCTAGATACGTACTACTGCTAAAACCAAATCTTGGAGCAGCAGTTACCATCAAGAGCAATAGAATTAGCCTTGCTGGTGAGTACTGTGGATGCCAAAGACTCGGGTATTTGGGACTCTTGAGTGATGAGCATGAGGGCTTGTCTCAATTTCTCTCCCCTGAGAGCAATTTGGATGCCGTGTGAATGTGCTCAGCTTGGTCCAGTGTAAGGAATTGAGACTGAGATTATATAGTCACCTTGTGTGTCTTTTTGAGACAAAAAGTGGGAGTTTTTGGGGGGCGGGGCAAATTGTCTAAATAAATAAACATTGGACCAACTAATGTTTGTGACTCCATCCTTTCCTCTTTTATCCCCCCCCCCCCCCCGGACATTTTGGGTTGCAGAAGAATTCTGTCTTTCTTAAGTCCTTGGCTTACAGAATGACCATCAGTTGCTCCAGGAAAAAGGAGTGTGCCTTGTTTCATGTTCTGGCATAGAGGTGAGAAGGATGGTTGAACTCCCACCACCCCTCCACCCTTCACTCTCATGACCTTCCTTATCCTGACTACCCATTGACCTTGGACTGAGCTGCCTGCCTCTTTCTCATAGACATCAGACAGCCTGTCCCTTCAATGGACCTCTTCACATGGCCCACCTGGAGCAATGATCAGCTGCAAAAGGTGAACTGAAGCTTCTACAGAAAGATACGAGGAAGGCTGAGCCAAGACTATATATAAGCTAGAGTAGGTTTTCTGGATGGGGGATACACAGGGAGAAGGCATTGACAGGGGACTGTGGGCAGTGAGAACACCCTCTCCCCACATCGCTTCATGCAGCAGTTGCCAAAGAGTGGGATCTTTGCATTTATCCACCTACACAAGCTGGGGGGGGGGAGCGGTTAAAGACTAGTGGGCAGAGACATGGAACACTTCCCTGATGACTCACTGAAGCTCCTGATAACAGGCAGCTTGAGAGATAAATTTGGCTTCCTTTTTGGCCCAGCTCTCTGGAAGTTTGAGGACCACCAGGCTAATGGACCACATCAGCATTCTCTTGCAACAGTGCGTAAAGACAGAGAAAGACTCCAAACCTCTGTGGCTTGAAACAGAGAGAAGGGTGGGGTGGGGGTGGGGATTAGCTCATTTTTAAAAACCTGCAGCTGTGCTAGTCTACTTAGTCTTGCTTGTGGGGAATGGTGGTGGTGGGGAATATAATGTACCTCCTGGGATTATTTACGTATGTGGCTTAAATCACTTTCTCTCATAACATACAGATAACTATTGTGACAACAGGAGAAACTGAGTGTGAGGGAGACCAAGGAAGGAAGGAAGGAAGGAAGGAAGGAAGGAAGGAAGGAAGGAAGGAAGGAAGGAAGGAAGGAAGGTGTAAAGTGTTCTTGTCATATTGTAGAAGTCCCTTTGTAGCCCCCCAGATTCACACCATGATCTTAATGAAGGTGACATTCAATAACACAAAGGGAGATTCCCAGAATCCAAGTGCTCCTTCGGATGCTGGTATTTGTCATTGCCTAATAACACTCCTTCAATGCCCACACCATCTCCACAGCCAAGGAGGGTTAACTAAAACACCACAACACTAAAAAAAACACAAAAAAAAACCTTGACTTGCTCAATGGTCATTTGGTTCATGATCAGTTTCCCAAGGAACCTTTTGTTAAATGCACACACACACACCTCTGCAACAAGTGAGCCCTGGTCAGAGAAAACAGTCACCCCAGCCTACCCTGCGGCACAAATTCTAGTTCCATCTTTGCAGGAGTGAAAGCATGCATGAAAATATATTCTTCCTACTCTCTCAACCTTTCCTACTCTCTCAATGGGCAGGGCTTGGCTTTGCCATTACCTGACCATCTAATGCTTGCCTGTCTTCCTGGCATAGATTGCAACATATAGACATGTAATAATGGAACAGGACACCGTAAGAGCATCACAAGAGCCCTGCATCTGGATCCACCTATTCTAACATCTTGTTCTCACACAGTAGTCAACCAAATGTCCCAGTCTGAAGCCCACAAGTGTGCAACAGCCCTTTCCCACCTCGCTGTTGTGTCCTGAGACCCACACTGCAATGTTTAGCCAAAAAGAAGTCAGAGCAGAGTCCAAAGCTAGAAGCAGACCCAGGCAAAGGCTTGAGACTCTAAGGGCCCAAAGGGAAGTTCTAGCGCTGTGGGTTCTCTCTGCATCTCTCAGGCAAAGCCAAACTTTCCCCATGGAAGCAACACCACTTCCCCTGACTGTGCTACAACATTAGTCCCAGCAGTCCTCCCTTCACCCCATCCCAGCTCACTTCCAAAAGACGAGGAGAGCCCAGAGCTGGCAACAAAGAGTTGGGTTTCAATACCTTCCAAGCAGCAGGTCCTCCACAAGCCCGAGTGGGTCATGACTTCTTCGTTTTTCCTGCTGGTGTCATTGTCGTTTGTGGACTTAGTCCTGCACACCCCCCTGGAGTACAGCCAATAGTCTGTGCCCACCGCGATGGTCATGAGGCTGAACGCTGCAAAGGCTCCCAGGGTGGTGATCAGCATCTGGATACCTCTGTCACACATCCTCATAATGATGCATGGTATCGTGGGCAGCCAACCGGAGGGGAAGGCAAGGCAGAGGGAGAAAGAAGGCAAAGGTGTCGCTCACACTCCCCTGGAGCTAGGGGGCCGGAGGCATGCAGGGGGAAGGGCTGCCCCTTCTCTACAGGAACCGGGCTCTCCACACCAGAGGAGGGGGACCCCGTGGGCTCCTCAGGTGCTGGTCTTCTGCGTTTCGAGGGATCTCCTCCCTGCCCCTCTTGGATGGAGCATGAGGCTGAGATCCAGCCAGGCGCCTGCTGCTCATCCCCGATCCAGACCCCGCACGCCGGGCTCAGAGGCGTGCGGCTTGTCCTTCGTTCAGCCTGGGAGAGCCAGACGCCTGTCACAAGAGCAAAAAAAAAATAAATAAAAAATTCCAAAGAGCTCGAGATCAACACGGTGTGTGTCTGCGTGTGTGTGCTAGAGAGAGGAAGAGGTGGGAGAGAAGATGCGGGTGGAATAGACAGAAATAGGTGCTTTAAAAGCAGCTGGGTGGAAATATCCCCCACGACTGGCGATGGAGAGAAGAGGAGATCGCCCCAAGCCCCCTCCCCGTCTCTGAAGCGACAAGCAAAGGCGGCGGCGGCGGCGGCGGCGGCGGCGGCGAAAACTGCCAGAGGTGCGGAGCCCGCGACTGGAAAGGGAAGTCACTGCCGGGTCCCCTGTGGTGCTGAGCAGGCCCGCCCCCAGCTCGGCGCTGGAGGGATGGATTCCCCGCAGCCAAGCAGCGGGGTGGGTGGGCTCCTTGGGCTGGAGAGGGCCGCTCCCTTCCCGCTGCTGCTGCCGCCGCCCGCTCGGGCGCCGCGGTGCTGAAGCGGACAGCTCCCCGCGCGCCTGCCCGTGCCCTGGAGTGTGGTGGTGCTGAAGTGGACAGCTCCCGCGATTCTAGACTCCGGCTCCCTGTGATGTAAGGAGGCGCCTCCCACTCGCCTCCGGCGCTCTCCAGGAGGGATTCTGCTGGAACTTTTTGGTGAAGGAGGTGGAGGAGGAGGAGGATGGCTGCTCCCATCAGCAGGCGAGGCGCTTCCCTGCTGCTGCTGTTGCCGCTGCCGCCGCCGCCGCCGCCGCCTGCAGCTGAGCTTTGACACTCGGACTGGTGAGCAGCTGCTTGTCCCAGCTGCCCATGTCCCTCCCAAAATACTGGAAGCGAGTGATGCAGAGATCGCACAGCTGCCCGGAAGGAAGAACCGAGCCGAGGAGAAGGTAGAAAAGTGGCTGATTACATGCGAGTTCGAGGCGGGGGGTTTGGCATTTCCAGGGAACTCAATTCCCTCCCCCTCCCTCAGGCACACAAGCAAGGCACACGAGGTATGCACACGCAGGCATGTGCACGCACACAAACACACACTTCTCTCCTATAACACCCACAAAAACTTTCCCACAGGTTTATCAAGATGCTGTGGGGAAGGACCATAGCTCAGGGATAGAACAACTACTTTGCATACAATAGTTTCCAGGTTCAACAACCAGCATCTTCAGGTAGGGCTGGGATAGACCCCTAGCTAAAATGCTGCAGAGCTGCTGCCCATCAGTGCAGGTAATATAGAGCTAGATAGACCAATGGGCTGACGTTGTATAAGGCAGCTCCCTATGTTCCTTCCTATGGTTCCTAGCTCAGTGGAAATGCATCTGCTTTGCATGCAGAAGGTCCCAGGTTTAAGACCCTGCATCTCCTGGTAAGACTAGAGGAGAACATGGTCTGGAGCCTCAGACAACTGATGCCTGTCAGTGTAGAAAATACTTACTGGTTTCATCTGGTATAAGGAAGCTTCCTGTGTTCCTGTACCATCTCACTACTTTTGACTAAAGGAAAATCAAAGTGCTAGTTGACTAGCAAAGTTGCTTGGAGCCCTTTGTTTCCCTGTGAGATCTTAAAGACCAACGATCTTATTATGGCACAAGCTTTTGTGGATTAGAGTCCACTTCATTAAATGTGTGAAAGGCCCTCCTAAATAGGCATATACTGTAGATAGATAAATATAGTTTCCCCCACAGAGAGGAATGGATGGAGCAAAGTGATGTCACCGGGAAATGAAATGCGTATTCATTTATTGCACCTACACCCCACATTTTTCTACAAGGAACTCACAAAGTGGCCTACACGGTTCTTCTCCTCCTCCGACCCAAAGTCACCTAGCGTGCTTCATGGCCGAGTGAAGATTTGAACCCTGGTCTCCCAGGTCCTGGTCTGACATTCTAACCACCACACCACATCGACTCTCCAGACAGCCCGTAAGGATTCAAAATAGTTAAGGTGACCATATACAAGGTTGGAGATGCCTGTTCTCCCCCAAACTGAGGTAATTATAGGTACGTATAAGGTGACAGAATTTGATGGCTAGTTATGCTGGAGCACCAGATCTGTGGCACTACCATAGAGGTTGACATGGCTTCACAGTCTGCTAACTTTTTCATGGCTAGCTTGGGACTACCATTTGCTTTCTCAGTTCCTGTCCCCCATCCTTATCATTTGGACTGTTATATGCTGTTCCACCAGAACTTCCACCTCACCATACACCTGAGCCTAGACCCATCCAGGTGGCAGCCTCACTTTCTGAACATGACTGTGCAATGACATAAAAATGGATATATAAGCTCAACTTTATATCAGAACACTACTAAGGACATGTATCTACATGCATCTAGCTCCCATCCAGAACATGCTACAAAATCCATTGTCTGCAACAAAGCCCTAAAGTACAACTGCATCTGCTCTGACTCATCAAAGAGAGGCTCACAGCTTAAGGATTTGCATCAGTCATTTCTTAGGCTACAATCTCCACCCATTGATGTGAAAAAGCGGTTTAGTAAGAGCAGGCAGGTGCCTAGGAATAATCCACTGTAGCACAGACCCATAATGGAAAACGGCAGAACACCTCTCTGTCACCCACCAGCTTTGTTGAAACCACTCCAGTGAATAGTTACATGCCACCCCAGTCTCTGAGTGGCAAGAGACTCCAGCGGTTCCAGTGCTTACCCAAATTTGGGTTCCTTGGACTGAAGGTCAGTAGAGACTGTGCTGTCCTTAGGATATATTGTTTTATTTACACATATATACACAACCTGATCATAAGATGGATGGGCTCACAACACGAACACCCTGAAAAGATAATGCTTCTACATTATTTGCAGCTTTAGATCCAGCACAGAGCAAGCATGTCTGTGTCTCCCACTTCCAGCCTGCTATCAAGCTCAGTTCACATAGACCATGCAGGCTATTGTTCTCCTACATAGCAGCTAGGAGAGGTGGTGTGGAGGAAAGACCCATCCATTAGCTTGGAAGGCACAGCCACTTGCAACCTAGCTCATTATTTTGGGATGCTGATGAGGACATTTAAGTGGCTGGCTAAGGTCATTGTCTTAGAATGAAACTTGTCTGACCAGTCCAGCAATCACCTACATTAGTGTCTAACCCTCACTGGGTACAGGACCCCAAGAACTGGAAGGGACTTAGGGCATCATTCAGACTGACCCCCCCGAGCTCATAGTGTCATAATCAAGGATCCACAGCCCATCTAGGATAATGATTCTTCCCTTTCATAAGCCTTTGGGGAAGGTAAGCCTCTAATTTATTACAGATGTCTCCCCCACCTCTAACTTAAACTAGCTACTCACCACCAACAACAGGCCACATAACAGACACACAAAGACAGGAACCAGGCCCTGCAATGGACCCAGATTCCAGCTCTGTCCACATATCTACTCTGGCAACACTGTTATAGAACCTAGCAATGTCACCCACAACATCAGAGTGTTCATTCACCTGCTCATCTTCCAAAATATATGGTAGATTATATGCAATATAATCTGCCAGCAAAGCAGATTACACAAGACCAACAAGTCAGGCTTTCTGCAAAACAATAAGTGGGCACAAATCACACCAGAAAGGCAATATTCAGAAACCAGTGGGAAAATATTTCAATCTCGCAGAACAGTCCAATTCGTCTCTTAAAAGAGCCACGTTAGATCAAAGGGAAACTCCAGTGTCAAAGGACTGATTTGCAGTTTAACAGGAAATTCAATTCTGTCACTTGTGGCTTGAATGGAGATTTTCAGTTTTTATTCCACTGTTCAAGACATTTAGTTTAGCCATGCTAGAATGTTTGTGTCATCACCACCAGCATTTTGTTTATGGCCACTGTGACTATTTTGCTTGCATATAATTGTCATTGTCTTTTCTTTAGGCATTATGTTGCCCTCTGACCTCACTCCTCAACATTCCCCCCCCAATGTATATCTATGTCTTCCAATTTAGGATTACACTGAATGATGAACATAAGAACATCTAGTCCAGCATCTTCATCTCACAGTGACCAACAAGGTACCCCAATGGGAAGCATGTAAACAAGACATCTTTGGCTGAGGCTCTTAGTCTTCATAATGCAAAAGCTCAGTCTGCATACTCATTGCTCAGCTTCACCCCTTCCTATCCTGCTCTCTCCCAGGCACCCCCTCTCTCAGGTGCTTGTTACCCTTCCAGCTCCCACACTGTCTTCAAGACAGGTAATTGCATTGCTCTTGCTTACTAACAACTGTCTGCTTCTACCTAGGAACCAGCTCTTGCATTTTGGTCTTTTGCTCGTGTGACACCATGAAAAAACCCCATAAAAACATAGCCGAATTCACAGGTGCCCAGATCGGGGCATTTTGTGGCACTTGCCCTCTTTAATGGATGGTATCTCTCCAGCTGAGTTTCCTTCTGGATGTGCTCCTATGGTCGTTAGATTTCTTAAGCTTCCTTTTGCTGCTGTTTGGATTGGATTATGACTCACGTAACCTTTCAAAATGCATCTCTGCCAAAACCGCTCTAGAATTAAAGGGTTATTTTAAACCTGCATGTATGTGATATGAAAGCAAATTATTTACTTGGGCATGGTATGCATTGTGGAAATTACAGATAGGCATGGATGCAGAATGGTTTCTGCTTTGACAGCAAAGCAGAAACCAGACTTTCCTTGTTTGGCTTCGTGACACCCTTGTGAGTTAAAGGGCACCATCACTCCCATTTCACAGCAAGGACAGTGAAGCCGAGAAACAGCCTTGATAAAGGCCACCAAAAAGCCTCTGGCTGTATTGGGATTAACACAGTGATTCATTTCTCTGTGGGGCTCAGGCCAGCCCTGGAAGTCTGGCTCTCCAGATGAGATCAGAGCTATGGGTGACTGTATCCAACTCTAGACTTGGAGAGCATGTTCTCCAACAAAGAGTTGGCATCAGAACTTGCCCTGCTGGATCATACCAAAGGCTCATCTATCCAGCACCCTGTTCTCACAGTGGTCAACCAGATACCTCTGGGAAGCCTGCAAGCCGAACCTGGGATATCAGAATCTGAACATGGAACAGAAGGACCTGGGCACAACTGTTATCTTTCCTACTTGCTATCTCCCCAGCAACTGGTACTCAGAGGTACACCACCTCCAACAATGGAGGTGGTACATGGGCATCATGGTTGGTAGCCCTATCTTCTATGAATTTTCCAAACCCTCTTTTACAGCCACCTGAATTGGTAGCCATTACTACATATTCTGTGAGTTAATTCCATAGTTTAATTACGTGCTGTGTGAAGAGCACTTTCTGTCATCTGC